AGAAACAGTCAGGTCTCAGATCTGTGAGTCTCCTTCTTACCACTTCCTGCCAGGGTGGGCTTCATTGCACCCACCTCAGTGGTGGTCCCTCCTTTCTCCATCCCAGGGCAAAAGATCAGGCCATGGGGTTGATTGACTGGCAGCCTTTCCCTTAGAGCAGGCACGGTCTCCCAGACTGAGTCTGCTCCAAGCCAGCATTTGTTCGGCGGCCTGGCAGCCATGGCCCCTGGGGATCCAGAGCCTGGGAGCTGTCAGTGCCTTCCACTCACTTACCCTTTGTTAATTGCAGAATACACAGAGAGCTGGATAGCACTTCCCAGTGCCATGCCTTTCCCTGGATCCTTCGCCACTTGGCAGCTTGTAGGCAGCTGTGCAGAACAGCAAGGAGCTTTCTCACTCGGTGCCAGTGTCAGGGAGTCTGGAACTCTGTTTCTGTTTTCCCTTTTCTCTTTCCCCCCACCCTCTCTATTTTCCGCCCAAGGGCTCTGTGGCTCATTTCTCCCAGGACTCTCCCTCAACTCCCAAGCCTCACCTTTCAAGTTCAGGGCTCTTCAGATGCCTCCCCCCCACCTTCTCAGAGATCAAAAAAAGTGAAACTTCCCGCTCTGGCCGGGGTTCACAGCCAGGCAGAGTGATTGAATACTCCTGTCCAAATGGGAAGAGGTGGGTGAAGAGATTAAATCATCTCTCCCGTGTTCGAAGAAATGTGCCGCTGAACTTCGGGCAAGGGGGTCAGCGGGTGTGAGGACCTGAGGCCTTCTCAAAGCCCAGGTGGGCGGGCAGTTGCCTGGAGGTAATTGAAAGGGAATGAGGACAGCTAGCATCCCTGCTGGGACCAGCAACTGCTAGGCCCCTTCCCCACCCACCAGAGCTCACTAGCCAAGTCCAGCCACATAGCCTTTGCCTGCAAGGCTAACCAGGACAGAAGAGGAGGGTCTCTGGACTAGAAAAATGGCAGAATGCATCCCTTCCCTGGAGAAGCTGAAGCTCCTCTGCTTTCATTCTAGTCTGATAGGGGAAAAACTCTACCCTTCCTACACATGAGGTGTTGTGAGGTCAATCGGTGGGAGACAGCGCCCTGGAGAATACCTGTTAGGGATATAAACTAAGAGTGGGCACAAACAGACCCCTGGCTTCCAGTGTTGTGCTCTTGATTTGACCTGAGACAAACCAGTCAGAACAAGTAAGACAGTCTTGTGTCACCCCTATCCTGGTATGGGGTTGCTGTGACCTCAGTGGAGCCCCAACTTTTCCTAAGCATCTCACATGCCAGTTCCAAACTAGCTTGACAGAGACAGTGGGGGCTTAAGTGGGAGAGAGCTGGCTCCAGGGCCTGGGCCTTTTGGTCCACAGTGCTGTCCTGTGTTTAGTTCACCACGTCATGACAAGCCCACCACTCCTCTGGGAGACATCGTTGTTGGAAGACCCTTATTAAAGCTCAGAGAGATTGATGGTGCAAGGAGCAGATGTTTAATGTAGACTGTGTCCTTAGCAGCTTGAGGCCCTAGGTCCAACTCCCGGGAAGTCGCAGGTTCTATAAAGGCAGAAATTCCCCCCAAGTGTCCAGAGGGCCCAGCTCCTCCTCTGCACATAAGAATAAATTGTGCCTATTCCTATGCCAGGGAGTCATGCATGTACCCAGCATCCTAAACACATTTGTACATGTGCACATTCACATACATATGCACATGCGCACACGCACACACACACACACGCACACACACACACACACACACACACACACACACACTGGAATCAACTTTTAAGAAAAAGGAGCAACTGCTCTTCTTATATCCTGGGCCTATAAGGAGCAATTTACCCCTCCTCCTCCATGTCCTTGCTAAGAGGATCATGGGTCAGACTCCCCAACCCCAGAAGATGCTACAAAGGAAGATTTGCCTCCCTGAGGCCATCCTATCCCTGAATGTCCTCCTCGTACACCTCCCAAACACCTCAGGTGCCCCTGTCCTGCTGTTCTGAAAAACCCATCCTTGACTTTTCAGTGTTCTTAAGGATCAGAAACCCAACTGTGTCTGCGCTGTTTGTAATTTCCATAATTATTTCCTTTTTTTAACCTGAGCATTTAGACAAGTTCCTTTTGAAAATGTCAACCTGTCTTTAGCTACAGTAAGGGAAAGGAGGTTTGGTGGTTGGCCCTTCTTAAAGAGAAGCAAGCACACCTGGAGACCAGGCAGGGGGCAGGTGGAGGTAGCAGGTAGAGGGGAGGAGGCCCAAAGTGTAGGGGGCTCTCAGCCGTCTCTAGCCTCCTGCGGATTCTCCTTCCAAAGCCCATCTCTGTGGTGCCTGCGCTCCTCCAACCCTGGCTCCCACCCCATCCCCTGCAGGGCACTCCCTGGCTCTGCTCCTGAGCAGTGCTGCCAACTATGACTTCCCTGCTCACCTCCTGCAACTGAATCTCACCCATCCCTGGAGAGTTCCAGCTTTCTAAGGTGATCAAAGGCTAGACATGATTTTCTAAAGAATTTAAGGAGAGCTGATATAGGATGGGGGAGTGGGCATTTCCATTCAGCCCCAGCCACCCAGACTATGTCTGGATGTTTTTGTAAGAGTTTTATTTTCTGTTATTTTTTATGTTTTGGGTGCCGGGGATTGGACCCAGGACCTCATGCCTGCTGAGCTCACGTTCTACATTGAGCTACGTCCACTCCTTGCACCACCAATAAGGGTCTTCTAAAAATCATGTCTCCCAGAACAGTGGTGAGCTTGTTGGGACTTCATGGATTAAACACAGGACAGCACTGGGGACCAAAAGGCCCAGGCCCTGGAGACAGCTGGCCTCAGAGTCTGTGGCCCCTTCCTCCCTGAACATTCTGAGGTTTTCCATTCACTACTCAAATGGCTCAGGACAATTATTTTGACTTCTCTGTACCCCAGCTTTCTCACCTTTCAGAATACCGTTTCCTAAGGCCCCTGCCAGGTTTGGGTTCTATGGCCCAATTTTCGGCCTCTCAGGACTGACCTGTGAAGGGAACTTGGCCAATCAATTTACCCAGGAAGATCACGGTTGCTCTGTCCACTCACTGTGTGGAAGCTCTCTCCCACAGGGTCCACGCCTGCTCTTTCTGCCAGCAAGAGCCAGTGTCTGTCCATAAGATGAGCTTGAGACCCTCTGTGCCCCAGCAGAGAACAGGGGCAGTGGGGCAGCTAGGAAGGGAAGGCAGGCAGGAAGGGCCAGTGGCTCGCCTCAGTGACCCCACCCCAGAGTTTACATACAGTCTTTGCCAAGCTGGCCCCAGTAGATGACGGGACACTCCCAGGGTGAAAGGGTGGGGGGATGCCTCCCGCCCTGAGCAAGGCTGCAAATCAGACTTTCCACACGGGCCCAGCCCTGGGGACAAGGCTCACTGACCTACAGGCCCCAGCTCCCACCCGCACCACCTCCCTCCGGAGGAGAGAGGCCTGTTTATCACTCTGGGTGGGACCCAAGCCTGTGGGGAATTGAGAAGAAAGAGGCAGCCTGGGTTGCCATTGTTTGGTTTAAACAAACCGCTGGCCTGGCCCAGGATGACTGGGAGAGACTGAGGAGGAGGCTGCAGAGCAGAGCTGTGGGCTGGGCCGGCTCCCCTGGGCCAGCACCACCCACCCCACCCCCAGTCCCTGCTCTGGTCCTCTCGATGTTGCTAGGGTGGGAAGAGTGGCTGCTAGGCCCCTACTGGGTCCTGACCTCCTCTCGGAGTGCTTCCACCCCTTACTCCCTGTCCCTGGCCATATCTGGGCCTGAACAATTTCAGAGCCCAAACTGGGGGAATCAAGAGACTGCAGAGGAAATGCCAGCCAGGTACGGCTGGAGCGTGCCACTGTATGGGTGGGGCTGAAGGTGAAGACTGCCTGGGTGCTCACTGTCCCTCTAGGGAGGCCAGAAGGATGGAAAGAAGAGACTCACCTGCACACGGGGCAGAAAACCAAGTGTGGTGGGCTCTTGGGTGCAGGGGGTGGGTGTCCCGCTCCTTCTTCCAACCAAAAGTGACTTAGACCCAAACTGGGAGAGGGATACTGGCAAGGAAACTCCAGAGTGAAGACAGTCATGAATGAGCTGCGGCCTAAAGGGAGGGCAGGTAGGTTCTGGAAGGGGCCAGTGGGCACCCAGGGTGGGATCTCACCCCCACCACCAACTCTCCCCCACTACCCAGGTGGGGCCTCCCAGCCCTCCCCTATTCTCCCGCACTCCCATGAGCATCTGCTGGAGGCAAGGGGCAAGAGCCGTCCCAGGAAGGGCTGGGTGGAAAGGGGGCCAGGGCACAGTTATGTGTTGGCAGAATCAATTAAGCACCATGCTAATCACCATCATTAAGGCTATAAAACTCCACACCTAGGGGCCGCAGGGCTCCCTGGCATGGCCCGGGGTCCTGAACCGTGGCACAGACCCAGGGGCCCGGCTCCAGTCCCTTTCATCTGAGCATCTCCCAGTCCTGCACAAACAGTAATTAGCGCCCGCCCCCAGGAGCACCTCATTATCCCACAGACACTGGAGTGGAGGGAAGGGGGAAGAGAAGGAGGGAAACTGAGGCCAAAAAACTGCCCAGACCTTGTGGCTGAATGAGCTTCCTCCAGCAAGGCCGTCCAGCCCCTCCCTCTGGTTGCTTAGGATGCCGTCGGCCTAACGTGCCGAAAGTCTCCAAAGTCAGCCAAATTCTCCCTCCTGAGAGGACGGGCTGGTTAGCAAGTCCCTGAGAACAATGAGGCGCCCAGATCTACAGGTTGACAATCAAGTGCTGGGCCCAGTCTCAGGGTACAGTGATCAGGAGGCAGCCCTTCGGGGAGGGCTGTCTGTCCTTCACCTCCAGACCATCCTCAGACACCTGTGTCTTCTCTTCCCAGGCCCCTTGGGGACTCCTTCTAAAGCCCCATAGCCCATCCCGCAGGAGCAGCCATGCACCTCCTCTTCCATCTTGCTTCGCAGACCCCAGGGACTAAAGCATGGTGGCGCTGGCCTACGCTGCCCCAGAAGTAACCGTGGCTCTGTTTGTCTCTCGTTTCAGGGCAATGACTTAAAGAAAGGGAATATTCAGGGCCAGGTGCTAACACGTGAGTAAAACCGTCAGTGCTCCCTCCCCCAGCCAGGGTCTCGATGACAGTCATAGTAACACAGCTTCCTGGTGCTGCTTTGCAAAGTGCAAACATCAACCCCAAAGGTCCCTGTACACCCTGATGTCGTCTGCACAAGTGCCTCACAAGTTTGCTGTTTTAAAGAGAATAAAATAGGAGTAGGACCTGCCCTCCCTTTCTCCCAGCGCCCCAGGCCCCTTCCTCAGGTCTCCACTCCCAAGGTGTGCCCTGGACTCCATTTACAGGGGATACTCAGGTGGTGAGCTGGCCGAGGACAAAGTCTTCCTGGTCTGTGAAGCAGCATGGGCTTAGGCCCCACATAGGTCTAGATTCAAATCCCAGCTCCTGGTGGCCTGGCTTGACCTCTCAGCCTCCAGTTCCTCTTCCAGAAAATGGAGATCATACCCACCTGCAGAGGTGGGGGAGGATGCAGATGCCATAAGTGAAGGTTATGCACCCCAGCATTTGTGTCCCCCACCCCAGTTTGTACTTCTGGAGGTTCTGAGTGGAGGATTCTTTAGAAAAGCCCTAGTGAGAGGGGTCTTCTCCATCTACCCTAAAGACATAGCACCAGTGGCTTCCAACTTCAGACTTGTCCACACAGAATCCTGGTCATCTGGCTTTGGCAGCATGGAATATGCCCATCTCAAGGGTACATAGCAACCCCCATGTCCACCAGCCTGGCCAGAAGTTGTCACATCCCACCTGCCCTCCACAAACTCATTCACACAAAGAGGTACTCAGTACCCCATGCTCAGAAATCTTTCCCAGCACTGGCGGTGATTGTGAAGAAAGGCTGATTTACCCAAATGCACACACACCCTCTGCCACAGCCTCAGAGCTCTGGCACACGGGCTGTTCCCATACTCACACCTGCCCCACTACAGACCCTAAACCCCAAACTCACAGAGCTCCTGGCACACCCTGCTCTGTTCTCTCTGAGTGTGTGTGTGTGTGCGCACATACACACACACACACACACACACACACACACACACACAAACACACATCTGACTTGCGATGGGAAAGATGAACAGTCAGGAATTCCCCTGGCT